CATAAATGCAAACTTTGAGTTATTAATAACTTCACATCCCGTATGATAAATTAGAATTCATTATGATCCTGTAAGTTGGTCTTTTGTAGCCAACAATTGTTATCCAGCCTCTTTCCTCTTTTGAACTAGGAAACTACTGTAGAACTACTTTTCCCTTCTTTAATGACTGCCCCTCCTGCCACTAGGAAGGAGACCGCTTCCCACCATACACTCTCATGAGAAGGCTCCCTAGAACGAGATGGGGAAGGGAGGTTGTGAGAAGGCATTCAAACTGGATGAAATATCCATTCATTACCAGAGTCAGGACCAAGGGCCCATAGATATAAGCCTATGTTGGGTAAAAATAGACCCAGTGGTTTCAGAAGAGCAGGCTGGAGGTACAAGAGTTTCGTCTCCCAAGCACAACTTTGGACTCTGTTTAGGAGTCCATGTGTTGAGGAATGAAGTATATCTGAATTTGAAAAAAAGGGGTAGCTTTTCTTTTCCCCCAAAATCAAAATTAATGAATCAGTAAATTTCCGAAAGTAATACAGGAAGCACAAAAGATGTTTTCACATGAGGCTTGAAACATACATGAGAGATTGTTGTGCTCTTGGAGATAGCATATATGCTAATTTGCAAGGGGAATCTCCAATCAGCTGCTTAAGTCACCATAGTGTCTGTTGTGCTGCCAGAGCAGATAGAATGGAGGAGTTCAAAGTACTGCATTTACTTGAATATAGCAAGGGTTTTTTTCCCCAAACAGTATGGGCAGAAAAGCCCTTCATCTTACATTTGCATACAAGAAAATCTCATTAAATACATTGTCTATCATTAAACTGCTGCCAAAAGCAGCATATACTCCATCATAGAAGCCAACTATGAAGTTGATATAAATGCAGCCAACACTAAGCATAACTATAAAACACATGGTCTATATGGGCAAATGTGCTGATGGGAAACTTTTTTTTTTCGGTGTGACCCTTAAAAAAAAGGCAGTTGCTCCCCCAGAAGAGAACTGGTACCCAGTACTACAATACTAGGATAGCACCAGGAAGGCCAAAGCCAGGCCTGAGACCCTCTCCTTGGTGCCAAAAGTGCTTGATCTTAGCCAAAAGGCTGAAAAGGTGATGGTAACTTACCACAAAAATAAGCTAGCACAGCCCACCTGGTGCCCACTATGCACAGTCCTCCTTTTCCAAGTCATAGTGAGCCAGTACAGTGCATACATTTTAACTTCCTCTTCATTCCCACAGCTGAGTTGTGCCTTTCTTTCCCATTTCTAATGATTCCTGTTTCTTCACCAGCCTTAAATGTCTGGCAAAAATCAGCAAATGAGGTCCCAAACAGTTCACCCAGAACCCCTCTGTTACTCTGTCTCTCAGCCTATTGCATATATGATTAGTGTGTCCTGCCCTCCATGAAGTGAAGCCAGGCCAGGTTGCCCTGTGCATGGTCTACATATAATTTTTTGGAGGATCCTAAGATGCATGACAAGAACACCTTGTATCCAGTCATTAGTGGGGGGCTAATTTGCATATGGATCCTTTGTGAGAGGTATCTGGAGTACACACACATACTGAGCAATGCTGAGCTATGTGGTCACCATGGATTGAAACACTGTTGACTCTGCTGGGGTCCATATGATAATCATAAGCCTTTAGGGCTTTGGTCTAATAGATGGACTAGCAGCAGGTCAGGGGTAGGACCCCTGAAGACAGCAATGGCAGTGGCAGAGAAAAAAGTAATGATGACAGCTATGACCAAAAGAACTGGGGGTAGGGGAGGGAGAAGCTAGGAGGGGTGACAGGGTGAGTTTAGGGTGTAAGGAAGGGTTGCATATCTTTGTGATGGGTATGTGTGTTGGTGATGGTCACATAAGTGTGCAAACACATGGGAGCGCAGTGCAGATATTGTGGCAGAAATGTGTATAATGTAATGGTAAGAATGTGTTTTGGACCGTTAAGTGAGCCATAGTGGCCACAGGACAGTTTTGGTAGAAGTAATGTGATTTTTTTTTTTTTGGCAAATTAAAAAAAAGCACGCAGGCAGTCCAGTGTGATTGTAATGGGTAAAGAGATGCAGAGGGGCACATGGGTGCAAATATTGTAACAGGAACTTGACATACCACACAGAACAGGAATTTAACATACAAGGTGTATGGATGCCAGGGCCTGTCAAGTGAACTGGATCAGTCACATGAGAGGACTGTAAAAGTACAGGTTAAATACAAAAGTGCTTCTTAAAAGAGTGTTTCTGGAGTACATGTGCTAAAACTTGCAGCAGTTTTAAAAATATAATATGCATCACACTGGATGAACTAAGTCTATGGGTACTATATGTAGGAGGATAGGCCCTATGAGGAGAGACTCCAGGAACTGGGTTTGTTCTGTCTGAGCAAGAAAAGGCTGAGAGGTGACTTGATAGCCTCCTACAAGTATGTTAAGGGTAAACACTAAGATCTAGGGGAGCAACTCTTCAGAAAGGCACCTCCAAAGAAGACGAGGACCAATGGGCACAAGCTAATTGAGGAACAATTTAGGTTGGACATTAGGAAAAATTTATTTTCCATAGGGGTATCTGAAACACACTCTCAGCAGGGGTGGTGCAATCACCATCATTGGAGGTGTTCAAGAGGAGGCTGGACAAGCACCACATTGAACTCATTTGAGCCCAATAACCTCTTGCCCATAGCAGGAGACCAGACTTGATCTTACAGGTCTCTTCCAGTCCTTAGATTCTATGGGCATGTGTAGATGAAATGAGGGCCCTAAATTGAAGCGGTGGGTTTTTAAAAACACTGCTTCAATTTAGGGTGAAGTAGACTCCCATGTTGTGTACACACGTGTCTTACCTGCCTCTCCAGCAGTGGGGAGGGGAGGG